AGAAACTATACGTGAAGGTGACCTGAACATTTTTATTATGAATAGACAGGAAGTGGCAATCATGCTGGTGACAAGGAGAACAAGAATACTAATCATAATCATGAATAAAGATAACAATAATAGGAATGATAATAATAAATGCGACTACTACCATTAATGCTACTACTACAACTACAACAACAGCGGCAACAACAACAACAAACTAATAATAATAATAATCACATCAGTGCTAAAGCAACAACATCAATAAATAATAATAATAATAATAATAATAATAATAATAATAATAATAATAATAATAACTCAGTGCTACAGCAACAACAACAATAATGATAATAATAATAATAATAATAATGTTAATTACATCAGTACTAAAGAACAAAACCTATATAACATAGGTATAAGGACGATAAGCTAACATCCCTTAACACTGAGGCAATCGCTAATGATGATAATTTTAAGCGATTCCCCTCATATCGTGACTTTGCTGCCGCGACCTTATCATCGTTATCGACTCGAATTTGAAATATCAGTGTGTCACCATTACGACGCAATTAGCATATGATTTCCATAATTAATTAATGCGTGGACTTCATTATCAAATGTATAGGGTTGTGCGCAGACACACTCATGTGTATATTCACATACGCTTACACGCACACATGCACACGCACACACACATATACAAGTATACAGCCCCCCTACACACACACACGCACGCGCGCGCACACCACACAACACACACCACACACACACACACACACACAACACACACAGCACACAACACCCACACACAACACACACCCCCCCATGCACACAACCCAAACACCCTACACCCTACACACACACACACACAACACCACACAACATCCCCAAACACACACATGCACCCCACCCCCTACAACACACACACACTACCCGCCGCACACACACCAACCCCCCCCCCTACACACACACACACTCACCCACACACACCACACACACGCACACGCACACACCCCCCCACACACACACACAAACGCACCGACCCAACCCCCACACAACACACACGCCCACATCTCTCTCGTGTGCGTGACCTTGACCGGCGTCCGCAGGCTGGCTTCCTTCGCTCGTGTGTCACCTGCTGATTCACCGCAGCTGCGGGAGAAGTCTCTGCGCGGAGGAGGGAGGGGTGAGGGGAGGAGGGGTTGAAGGGAGAGAAGGAGGGGAGGGGCGAAGGGAAGGGAGGAGGGGAAGGTGAAAGGGGAGGGAGGGGGAAAGGGAGGAGGGGAGGGGGAGGAGGGGAAAGGAGGGAAAGGGAGCAGAAGTGCGGGGAGAGGTAGGGAGGTGGAGAACTTTCTGCCCGGAAGAGATGAAGATAGATAGAAGAGAGAGAGGAGAGAGAGAGAGGAGAGAGAGAGAGAGAGAGAGAGAGAGAGAGAGAGAAGAGAGAGAGAGAGAGAGAGGAAGGGTAAAGCGAGAGGAGGAGAGAGAAGGAAAGAGGACAAGAAAAGGAGGAAAAAGGTGACGAGAGAAGGAGGGAAGAGCAAGAAGAGGGGTGGAGTATGAGGAGAGAGAGAGACAGGAAAGGGTGATGAGATATGAAGAAGAGGAGGAGGGAGGAAAGGCAGGAAAAAGAATTGAACACATGAATCATGTGTTCAATTTTGAGGGCTTTGTTTTGAATACATCTCTCTCTCTTTTTTCTTTTCCCTCTCTCTCTCTTTACCCCTCTGACTGCTTCACCCCACTCCTTCCCTTCCTTCCCCCTCTCCCTCCTCTTTCTCCCCTTCTTCCCCTTCCCCCCTCCCTCCTTCTCCCCTTCCATCCTTCCCTCCTTTCTTGCCCCTCTCCCCTTCCCTCCTTCCCCTCTTACCTCCTCCCTTCCCCCCTCCCCTCCTCCTTTCCGCCTTCTCCCCACTCCTCTCCCCTTCCCTCCTCCCCCCTCTCCCACCCTCTCCCACTCCCATTCCACCTTCCCCCTTCCTCCATCTTCCCCCCCCTCCTTCCCCCCTCTCCCCCCTTCTTCCCCTTCCTCCATCCTCCATCTCCCCCTCCCCTTCCTCTTTCCCTCCCTCCCTCCCTCTTCCCCCCTCTCCCCACCCTCCCCCTCCCTCTCCCCTCGGTCCCTCTCGATCGTATACCTATTTAGGTGCGGCAGAAATTCGAGTTAAAACCCCATGACAGAGACACGTATCTTATCGGCGATGTCCCTGATAACTCCTCAATCCTCGCGCGTATCGCCACGAAGGTGTGTTTGATAAGGGAGGCGGTTTGATAAGGGTGGGCGGAAGGGTGGGGCGTTATCTGGGTATCTCTCTCTCTCCTATTCTTCTTCATGCGTTTTCTTCTTTCTCTTTAATTTTTTCTTATTCTTCTTCATCTTCTTTTGTTCTTTTTTATTTCTCTTCCTCTTCTGTTCTTCTTCTTCTCTTTCTTTTTCTTATTTCTTATTCTTTTCTTCTTCTTTCTTTTTCTTCCTCTTCTGTTCTCTTCTTCCTCTTCTTTTGCTTTTTTCTTCTCTTTGGCTTTTCTTCTTTTCTTCTCCTTCTTCTTATCCCTAAGACGGCCAGCAACCTTGCAGAAAGACGAGAAAGAAAGAAAGAGAGAAAGAGTAGGAAAGAGATGAGAGAGAGAGAGAGAGAGAAGAGAGAGAGAGAGAGAGAGAGAGAGAGAGAGAGAGAGAGAGAGAGAGAGAGAGAGAGAGAGAGAGAGAGAGAGGAGAAGAGAGAGACAGAGAAGAGAGAAAGAGGAGAGAGAGAGAGAGAGAGAGAGAGAGAGAGAGAGAGAGAGAGAGAGAGAGAGAGAGGAGAGAGGGAGGCGCAGAGCACGAGACAGACGAGAAGAGAGAAGAGGAAAGAGAGCGGGCCGAGCAGCGTCCGCCCCTCCGCCAGCCGCGCGCCTCTGCCTCCAAAGGGCAGGCATCGATGCCATTCTTCTCCGCGCCCTCCCTCCTGCAGGTGTCGCCGGCGGCAGATGTGCGGCGGCGGATGACCTCGATCCGCGGGGTCGGCGAACGGCGTCGGGTCGAGGCGCCGCTATTGCTATCGATTGTGTGCATGTGCGTAGGTAATGTGTATGTGTATTTATTTAATTGTGTGTGTGTTTGCGTGCACACAACACAAACAACACACACACACACAGACACACATTCTATCTATCTATCTATCTATATCATATATATATTATATTGATAGATAGATAGAATAGATAGATAGATATAGATATAAATACATATACATATACATATATATACATACATACACATACATACATATATCTTTACGTCAACCCATATAAAAGTATGACAGACTATCTAACCTAACTCTCTATCGGCAGACCATAATTAATCTCCACTTCAGCCCCTCTATAGAGCCCAGGTGACTCCCATTCGCACTTGTGCCGCTACATCAAGCGGCTTATGAACGGTTAGTTAAAAAAAGTACTTTAAAACCTATTACCTTTAAAGACGGTTGCTCGCCACACAAGCGTTGTGTAAGGATGGTCTTGCCTTGAACAGTGTTAAGAGTTTTAAAAGGGTAGTCTTGCCCTTAACGAAAAGAGAGAGAGAAAAAAAAACATTGTAGCATTCTCGTATCATACGCAGAGAAAATAGTATATGTTCCATTTAAGTATCAATACGCAGAGAATAAAGTATATGCCTTTTGAAAACTCGATTTGTTTCCTGATCACTGGGCAGGTGTGTGGGTATGTATGTGGTGATGTGTGTGTGTGTGGTTGTGTGTGTGTGTGTGTGTGTGTGTGTGTGTGTGTGTGTGGTGAGGAGAGAGTTAGTATGAAGAGAGTAGGAGAGAGAGAGGAGAGAGAGAGAGAGAGAGCGGAGAGGGAGAGCAGAAGGCTAACGGAGGGAGGAGAGAGAGACGAAGAGAGAGAGAGAGAGCGAGAGAGGACAGAGAGAGCGAGAGACAAGAGAGAGCGAGCGAAGCAGCTCCGCCCTCCGCCCAGGCCGGCGCCGCCTCGCCTCCAAAGGGCAGGCAATCGATGCCCATTCATTCTCGCGGCGCCCTCCCCTCCTCCCGCAGGTGTCGCTCGGCGGCAGAT